CACCAGTGTGAATCCTTTCATGTATTTTACAATAATCTTGTGTACTAAAAGCTTTCCCACACTGTTTACATACATAGGGTTTCTCCCCAGTGTGAGCTCTTTCATGTATTGTACAATGACTTTGTCTACTAAAAGCTTTCCCACACTGTTGACATACATAGGGTTTCTCCCCAGTGTGTGTTTGTTCATGGATCTGAACATCATTGGGTGTGCTGGAGGCTTTCAAGTTTTCCTCATATACAAAGGTATGCTCTCTAAGGTGACTTTTTTCACTAAGATCAGAATAGGATTTTTCACATCGATCATATTCATAGGATTTCTCTCCAGTCTTTGTTCTTGTATCCTGAAAGAAGTGGAAATCACAGCAGGCTCTTCCACGCTCACTACATTTATACAGCATCTTTTCTAATCCCAAAAACTCATATGTCTTCACTCCAGTGTCAGTTACGGTAGGCATTTCTAATGGGTTGCATTTCCCCAACTCTTCAATTCTGTTAAAAAAAAAAACAAAACAAAAAGAAATGAACAAAAAACACCAGTTACAATAAAATGTATCTCTATATTAATGATTTATCACATGTCTGGTTTGAGTCCTCCTAAGGAGTTCTGACAATAAACTGAATGCCCTGGAGGATACATTTGAAACAGCTATTCCCAAGAATGTTACTCATTTAGCAATTTTTTTTTTTTTTTTAATGTATTTAGTACAGGGTCTCACTACACAGGTCAGATTCATGGTGATCCTTCCTATTTTTTCAGCCTCCCAAGCACTAGGATTACATGTGCGTGCCACCACGCCCAGTTTCAGAAGCCCTTTCAGCACGCCATGGGGGCAGGGTTGGAATGGCAGGCTGGGGATTGAGCTCCCAGCCCCTGCGTTTGCCTAAGGAGGCGTTTTAATCCGCTGAGCTATCTAGCTAGATAGCTCATTTAGCATTTTTAGCAACTTTTAAATTGGCATATTTTCCAATACAGATGGCAAGTTTCATTTTGGGGAATTAATATACATGTACATCACATAATGATCATTTTCCTGCCTTTTCCACCATTGTTCTCCCTCTTCTCTCCTTCATCTCCAAAAAGTCAGGCTTTCCTTTTTAAATTTCCTCTCCTTTATTTTATTCCCTAATTCACAGTTTTTGTTTCTTGTAAAAGAAATCACGCAACTTCACATTCTGTGTCTGAATTACTTCACTTTGTATTTACTTGATTAAGACCCACCTATTTCTTTGGGCAAATGATATGACTATAATTCATCTTTGTAGCTAATTAGATAGCATGGTTTTTCTTTATCCTTGCCCTTAAGTGCTACAGATTAGTACTCAATTACATCTCCAGCTTTTTTCTTATTTTGGGAGAGATTCTCATTGTTGATTAAGCTGCTCATGTTGACTTTAAACTTGCCATCCCACTGAATCTGCTTAGCAGAGTGCTTGATTCTACCACCATGTAGAATCTATCAAAATTTTTTTTATCCATTCACCCAGTGATGGACATCTAGACTGATTCCATGGCTTAGCTGTTATAAGTTGTCCTGTTTTGTGTATTCACATATCAGCATACACAATAATTTTAACTTTTTTGGGACTGTATTCAGGAGAGGTATTCTTAGAGCAAATGGAAATTCTATTTTTACTTTTTGAGAAATCTTTATATTGACTATAATACTGGCTATATTTAATATTCCTACCAAAAACACTGGATTCTTTTCCTTTTTTTTTTTTTTTGCAGAACCGGGGATTGAGCTCAGGCCCTTGTGCTTGCCAGGCAAGCGTTTATTCTACTGAGCCATCTCCCCAGCACCCTGGATAATTTTAAAACATGAATGGATTCAATTCTCTGGAGCATTATAATACTAGTATTCCTTTGTACTTTCAATAGTGCTTCAAGGTTTCTAAATTTTTAGATACTGCATTTCATATATATCCTAAAGAAATGTTTCTGGTCAAAACTCAAAATTTCCTTTTATATATACCTATACATAATACCTAAATGAAATTTCACACATTTTCATGGAGGTAATCATGAAAGAAAATTTTTTGTACCTATGTGTCAGGTAGTGTCACTTGTTGCATGATATCAGTATGTTTTAGATACTGGAACATTTCTGTATTGTTTTGAGATTATACATACTAAAACTATACATATCATTGGAGAATATCTGTGAGATTAAATAAATTTGAACATGGCCACATTTCCCTGGTTGTGATATGTAGTGGTTGATACATTGTGTCAACTTGGCCGGATGACTCCCGGGTGCACTTCCGGCTGGTGGGGGTCCTGCCCTGGGACACAATTGGTTCTGCCCCCAGAGTGACTCAGCACAAAGACCATATAAAGGGGCTGAGGAAGTAGTCGCTCTCTTCACTTCCTCGGAAGAGCTTCAGTCTTTGCATTTGGCTTGGACATTATCGCCTGGCTTACAGCGCAGACTCTTCCACCTCCAGCTTGGATCCTTCACCTTCCATCGCAGACTCTTCAGTCTTCCCTCGCAGACCCATCAGCTGACAAATAGAGACTTGCATGGATCACAGCAGTGAGCTTCAGACCTTGGGACTGAACTCCTCAGTTTGGGGTGTGCAGACGCCCTCTGCACACTCCCCCATCTGACTCTGTGGCTGACAGTCATAAGCCAACCTTGTAATTCCTTATACATTGTAAATCTTGTGTTAATATCTGTTCCTTATATTATATCTGTTCCTCTAAGTAAAACCCTGACCAATACATGATATTTGTCTTTATGCATTCACTTTTGAAGAACATTTCTTTTCTTTTTGACTAAAAATTACCTTTGATTTCTGCAGTCATTTTTTTCTTCAGCTTTCTGGTTCTCCCAGGCTCTACCTGAATTATAGACATAGAAACATAAGGGGACACTATATTATTACATAAAAATGAATAGATTCCAGGGGATAGAAATATACTCAGTGGCACAGTACCTGCCTGGCAAGTGCAAGATCCTGATTTTAAAAACCAAAGAAAAGAACAGATTCCAGTTAGATTCATGGTATAATGTAAACAGGACTAAGATATTCTTCAAAAATGTTTTCACATTCTAGTCAATGAAAGCACTGATGAGCAACAATCTTCTTTGACTGCTTAAATGAGAAAGTGGTGTCATCCTTACCTATAGTAGCTATGTTCCTAAAAGTTTCTCTCATTACATCTCTGTAGAGCCTCTTTTGGGATGGATTCAGCAAAGCCCACTCCTCCATGGTGAAGTTTACAGCCACGTCTTCAAAGGTCAGTGCCTCCTAAATGATCACACATATGTTTCTTGAAGGATAGTTGAGACTTATAGCCTGGGATCTTTTAACTTTTCTTATAAAAAGTTTAATTGAAAGACAGGTGTGGTGGTGCATGTCTGTAATCCCAGCACTCAAGAGGCTAAAGCAGGAAGATTGCCATGAGCTTGAGACTAGTGTGGGCTACAAAGTGAGTTCAGTACTGGTACCCTATCTCAAAAAACAAAAAACAAACCAAAAAAAAAAAAACAAAAAAACAACAACAACAACAAAAAAAGCATAAAAGTCATATAGTTGCTGAATCCTTTAAAGATTGACTCTGTCTTGGTTATCAAATTCATGTATATGCACAGTTTTTCAGACAGAAAACCTTTTTTATTTTCTGGTACCAGGAATTAAACTCAGGAGTTTGTGCTTGCTAGGCAGCTGCTGTGCCATAGAGCTGTCTCCCTCAGACTGCAATTCTGATGCTAGATTGTCACTCAGTGCTAAAGCAACAGCAGAATAGGAGCGCTGGTCCTTCTACTGGTCATGGCAAGGGCACCTGAGCATTGTCTGTAATGCAGAGCTCCTAGGGAGAGCCTTCAAGGTCATCATCCACATAACACCGGGCAAGGCAATTATCTAAGAAGTGGTTTGATATGTCATGGTGATATCTCTTTTCTAATTTTATTATTTATGGCATTGAGTCCTTTCTTTGATTAAATGTAAGCAGTATTTTAAAACCAGAATTTTGTCACCAAAAAATTAAATATCAAATAAGTTATGAATAACTAAAATGTTAATGGAAAGTTTTATTGGAACAAATCTATGAGCACTGTAAATAAGGTAAGGGTGGCATTTTGTCTTATAGCTCAGGGTTGAAAAATGGTCACCTCACTCAGATATAATTTTGCACACTTATATGTGGTAATATAAGTTGTGGTAAACAACTAACTTAAAGACAACAATATAACCATTATTGAATTTCTATCATTTTGTTCAGTGAAATTCTGTAACATTTCTAATGCTTTTTTTACACTATTTTTTATTCTCTTTAAAGAATAAAAAATAAAATTCAAGAAGAAATTCAGGGAGAATATGAGACAGTGATGAGGGACGAGACGAAAGTTTAGTGCGTCCAGCCACTACTCCATGCCCTGAAGACTGTCAGAGAGACTCGGCAGCCCTAGCACTGCAACCCCACCCCAACCTAGCACTGCAACCCCACCCCAACCTAGCACTGCAACCCCACCCCAACCTAGCACTGCAACCCCACCCCAACCTAGCACTGCAACCCCACCC